TGCAATATGGGATGGTCAGGACTTTGAGCCTCTGACTTGTAGGAGGTGTGATGGCCACTTCTGGCGTTTAGGTGCTTTGGACCCTCAAGTACAGCAACTCATGCTGCAAGCAGGTTTTTATGGGGTCTACAAGGCAGGCCGTATACGCCTAGATCATGCTTTGATAACAGCATTGGTCGAGAGATGGCGCCCAGAGACACATACTTTCCATTTGCCAGTTGGTGAGGCCACTGTCACCTTACAGGATATTTCTGTGTTGTGGGGCCTACCTGTAGATGGTGATCCTATCACTGGTGTCGATACAAATCGGTCTATGGAGGAGTGGCAGGATATATGTAATGAGCTTTTAGGATTCAAACCACCTCCGGAGGATTTTGATCGTGGCCGTCTTAAGATCCGATGCTTACAGGAGAGATTTAAGACATTACCAGAAGGTGCATCAAAGGATACAATGCAGTTTTATGCTAGAGCTTACATTTTACAGCTTCTTGGGGGGCAGTTATTGTCAGACATGTCTAATAATAAGGTGAAGTTGATGTACTTGCCCCTGCTTAGGGATTTTGAGGCTGCTGGCAGGCTAAGCTGGGGTAGTGCTGTGCTCTCTTGTCTTTACCGTGCTTTGTGCCGAGCAACCAAGCCTGAGACATCAGATATATGCGGGCCACTGGTACTTTTGCAGGTATTAGAAATCATTTAGCCCATGTTTGAGCTCCCTTTTTTGGGAAAATGTATTTTCTAATAGTGATTTTTTTGGAGAATGTGTGGTTGAAAATGAGTTTTGAAAAAAATGATGGTCAAATGGGGGATAAATCTCACTGAGATGTCTTTGTTACATCTTTGGTGCCATTTATGTCTCAGTAGAAATCTAAATAATATGAGATTTTTTGTCTGCACAAATATCATTAAGATCTGGGCATGGGAGAGAGTGCCTTTCATCCGTCCTGGGAGGTTAGCACCCCTACAGCAGCCACCTCCTGATGCAGTTGCTGGAGAGCATCCTTTGCCCATTGCCCCTTATGGTTCCAGGTATACTTGCGGATACAGAAAAAACTTGCAATCAAAATAGCCCCACCACATGTTGACCTTTTAACCTAACATACATTGTTTGCAGGTGGAATGTCGGTTTCAAGTTGGAGAGTGTGGGAACACATGTTTTAGTCTTATACAGAGACCAACTAGATAATATGAAGGATGACCAGGTATCTTTTCATTTTATTTCTAATCGCAATTAGCAGCAGTATTGCATTAATTCACTGATTAGTATTTAAGATTTACTTTATGTTTTAGTTTGTATGGGAGCCATACCCTGATGATGTTTTAGGCAGCCTTCCTCAGTATTGCATATCAGGAAAAAGAATTTGGCAGACAGTGTCTCCTCTCATCTGCTTTGATGTGGTGGAGTTCCACCATCCTGACCGTGTACTACGTCAGTTTGGGCAACAACAAACTATCCCTGCTGTTTGTGACACTATCCCAGACATCCATTTGACTGATCGTCGTGGAAGACAAAATTACGACTGGGCCCATCATCACAGACAGTTCGTTGATATGTGGATAGACCGGTTTGCTCGAATTATTTCTACACCTCCCATTGATGGTCCAATGGATCAGAGTGATCCGTACATGATGTGGTACCGACGCATTACCCGTCTTTTGATTGGAAATCCTGCTACTCGTCCAAATACTGGATATCAGGGAGTTGGGGGTGTTGTGGAGTCGATGGTATGACACTTCGATTTGATCTTTTTTGCTTGTTGTCATACTTGGATCTTTGACTTGCTAATATATTGCAGGCCCAGAGCTTACAAAGAATATACCATCGTGCCAGCGATGCTATGTACCAAAGCCATGAGGTCTCAGGGCATGATGTTCTCAGAGAGATCCAGGATATATGTGCATATTCATTGAGGGCAGCTCACGAGGACCACCGTCTCACTGTACGTCCCGATGCAAACCTAACAGCTGCATCCCCAGCTATTCTACCTAAGTTACAGAGAGGTAGACCAAAGAAGAGAGGTGGGTTTGGAGGAGGATCAGCTAGTGAGAGCCGAAAAAGACTTTCACACTTACCCAGTACACCATCCACTTCAGTGGCAGAGTATCATTCTCCTTCGCAGTCAAATGTACTTCCTTCACATGGTGAACTTCCAGATACACCGCAGACCTGGGATTCTTCGCTAAACTCACCCGATTACAATGATACTACAGATCCAAACATGATGCAGTTGAATTTGGAATTTACTGGTATGGTTGCTATCCTATCCTAAGCTAACTTTTCTGCACTAGAGCCATCAAATGGTCTGACATTTAATTTCATTTCTCATATTCTGAGCACCAGATAGCTTGAAGCAAGAGGCTACATCACTATCATTGGATTTTGCAGAAAACCCCATCTTACAGGCCCTTGGGAAGATTCGGGACATTTGTGAATTTACTTTGCGAACGACTAATGGGAACCAGTCTTTGCTATCGACACAGACTGCCATCCCAGTAGGTCCTAAGACAAAGCGATGTAAGCCAAGGAGAAGAGGTGGAATAAGTGGACGACCTGTGGGTGCAGGAAGTGGCTTAGGCTCGTATTTCCCATCTACACTAGGACCATCATCGCCAACACCATCTTCTTCATTGGGACCAAATACTTCACGACCACATGAAATTCTGGATCAGGATTTCGAGCCTTTCGCTACACCACTCATGGGGGACTCCCCTCTGCCAGAATTACAAGACACCATGCAATCAGAGATGATAGAGTTGGATGCCATAACTGGAAGTAGAGAAGCTTCACCATCTGCTGCTAAACTGTCAACGTCAGAGCCACCATTCTATCCCCAAGATGATCAGAGTTCAGTTCCTCACTTGACCAACACGACTACCAATTTTTTGAGGGAGGATGCTGCACCAGTGCCTGTGGATTCTTCTCGTACTGCACAGGTGGATGTCAGACAAGTAGAGAACACAGATGGAGGCATTGAAGTCCCACCACCGACACCTGACCCTCCAGTATTGGAGCCACAACATGCTCAGACTCTAGAAGAATCAGACCCTAAACCTGAAATGCTTGATGAGACTCCGTCCACTACTCAAGGCGATTCTGTGGTCTCTCTGCCTTCTCCAGGAGAGCATAAAGTGTCGCCTGTGCATTCAGACTCTGATAAGGTGGTGATACAGGTTGATGGACCAGACACTTATTCCAAGCCTGACCCTCCTGTATTGGAGCCACATTGTACTGAAACGCCTTTGCCATCGGACTCCACCAGCCTCCCTACTCTGCAGGGTGATCTGAGTATTCCCGAGCCTTCTTCACCAAAGCATCCAATCACATCTGTGCATTCAGGTGCTGAAGCTATCCAGGTTGATACGCCAAATGCTGATTCTGTACAAGGTGATGGTGGCAAAAGGAAAGAACGCCCAGACCTTGTTACTTCAGTAGATTCAAGTCATACAAATGATACTACCCTAAATTCAGGCGATCCAGTCAATGTTAATGTTAATGCTGATGGCAAAGTATTAGCCAAGCCTCTGAACGAGGGAGAGTCGAAGCTTACTCAGGCAGATCCAGCAGCAGTGACAGAAGATGGCCAGAAGAAATACAAGAGACAAAGGCGAGTTCCATCAAAACTAAGATAGGGACTGCCTTAGCATATAGTTTAGTTTGTACCCTATTGGTGATGTGTTGTGATGATAAACTTATAATAAATACCGTTTCTCCCATAAAATATTGTGCATTAGGATGATCCTATTTTAATGAATGATTTAGTTTTTGTATTATGTGATGCCCAATGTACTTCAAGATTCTCTCAAGAGTTGAAACTACTTATAAATTACTATCAATAATGCTGAATAAAAGCACGAGCAAATTGGTTGAACAATTCATTTTTTATTTACAGAAAGGAACCACTAAAGACAATCCTTTTGGTGCTTTTTGATTGGGCATCATGTCATCGTAAAGGCGGAGATCCATGGGAAAATTTCTAGGATGGTAGGATTAAAAAAAATAGCTACTAATCTTTATCTTGTTATAATTAAATTAATTAATTTGTAATGTTGTTCCAATAAAGAAATTCTTGTCCAAACTTTTGGACAAAACAATAAAAATGATAATTATTAGAAATTTGTGAGGATGTCAGGTTGGTCTAGAACTTTTAAAAAGGAATAAGTTAAGTCTTTCGAAACTGAAAATTATCCAACTTTTCATTGAATTATAATATAACTCACATTTCACAAAATCTATGTCGTTTCGAAATTTTGGGCACTCAATTAAGTTGGGAAGCATAACTTCACTTTATAAAAATTGGACATTTGAGGATAACTAGAAAATATAATGAAGATTTAGCCCGCTCACATAATTTGAGTCTTTGAGATAAATTGTACAACCATGGTAAAATGTTGCAGACCTTTTGTTATTGGACAAATAGGCTGGGGACTCGTGCTGCAATTTTTCATTTGTTTAAAAGTCAATAAATAAAATTCATATTTTACTCTGAAAATAAGGACTTTAGTTTGAATTTTACAAGAATACATTTTCATTTTGACTTTTGGTTATTAGTTAGCGCAGAATTAGTAATTAATTATAGGAATTAACTTAATCCCACGCCAAATCAAGAAAATTCTGTAGAAAAAAAAGTGAAAAATGGTATCTTTACAGTGACAGCGGGTAATAAGCTAAAACTTAGAACCAAAGAAGCCTTGACATGTTGTTAATATGATATGATTTTTATATTAATCTTTTTCAGATTTTTCGAATGTGGCCATTTATGAAAGATCTATGAAAAGCTAATGGCTTCTCTTTAAAGGAAGCTTAGGGGTGAAAAAGAAAAGGGAAAAACTGAGGCAAGAAAAGGGAGAAACTGAGGCCCTTATTTTCGGAAGGGTCACAGTTCACAGCCCTCTTGTCTGAACATTCATGATTCCCCCCTTTCTCCCAAAGATTTCCCACTGATGAATCTGGGTTTGAGCCTATAGATAGAGTGAATTGTTGACTTTAGAAAATAACAGAGAAAATGGTGTTCATTACTGAAGATAACATCAAGCAGTTAGGAACTATGATAGAAAAAAGTCAGCTTTCTTATAAACTTTTTTTTTTTGTAGTATTTTTTCGATCTCTAGATCTGGGAAGCACTGATATGTTGCTAATTTTCATTTCAGCTGATGAACCACTAAAGAAGACTTTCCAGGTTTGGCATCGTTACTGATCTGTATTGTGCAAATTGATTTTCTTCAAGTTAAATTTGATCTGGGTTCTGCTTACTTGTTTTGTTTGTTAAGTCATTTATTTATTGTCTAGATTCGGGAAATTGGATATTGGGATAGTCAATGCCAAGTAAAAGAATTACTTTTAACTAAGATTTGAGTTTTGTGGAGGATGTGGCCAAAAATTTCATAAATTATTTCTTGTTCAGTCAGGTCGAATATTTACTGATGTACGAACTTGGACATGGGGGTACATTTGAGTTTCTGAGAGATTCAAAGTTGGCATTCTGATGCCAATGCGATCGTTAAGTTTTCATTTGATTTGGATTGGTTTTATTCCATGTTCATTTTTATACAAGAATTTGGTATCATTGAGTGTATAGGAAAATTAGGAGTTGGGAATTCTAATGTGATCTTCTTTTGTATACATAGAGGCTTGCATTATTCAATTTGGTTATTTTTTGCAATTTTTACATTTTGAGGCAGTCAATTATTTGTTCTTGGTTATATCCATACCTATTTTATTTCTTCAAGTACTCTAATTTCTAATCCTTAAACAGTCTCCCTTAGCTTTACAGATTCCCATATTCATATACAAATTAGAAAAACTGAGAGATTCATTCAAGAAAACTAGTTTTGTCACCATTCTAGAAAATAGAAGGTGATTGATTCTCATATTGCTGGAAGGAATAATAACAGTGCATCGCAACACAAACAGCCTATTATTCATTTATTTCCCACATCTACTGGTTTTGGAAGATGAAGATTCTTTTCTTTAGGACACCTGCAAATATTACATGGACGAATTTTCTGTTTGAATTTTATGGATAAATAATGTATAAACTGTATATTTTGTCCTGGTTTTCAGAATATACATCAAGGGTACCCCACTGAGAGTTTGGTGAGATTTCTGAAAGCAAGGGATGGGAATGTCTCCAATGCGTATAAAATGGTATGACACATTCTATTCTGTGAAAATCCCGAAGAGTATCTGACTTTAAATCAAGTTGATATATTTTCGAGTATTCTCACCAATCATACTTAATGTTTCAGCTCATTGATTGCTTGAACTGGAGGATACAAAATGAAATTGATAACATATTGGCTGTGAGTTTTCATGTTCTCCTAGTGTACAAGCATCATCAGTCTATGGACCAATTTTATTCTTGACTAACGCATTTCATAAAAATCTGTTACATATTCATATGCTTTAAGTTTAGCCAATTATTTTACGTCTACAAATACATTGTTTTTCTTTGCTGAATGGTCATATAACAATCTTGTACTTGTAATGGTAGAATGCTATAGCACAATTTGCAGTTTCATGAGCTTTATATCTGTTCCTCTGGTTCTTGTTTCCGAAGATCATGGTTTTCATCACTATCAGAATTATCAATGATGAAGTTGCCACCTCATCTGGTTAACCTTAAAAACTTCTAGGTAGAAGAACTTTTGGATGATTATAATTATTGACTTAGAATCTGTAATTTCAGATAAATCCAGAAAAGATCTCAGACATAGTACATTTATTATTTTAAATCGTCGAGATCTACTGGTACAACATGCAGTCATGCATACCATAAATCACTTGCGCGTCCAATAACCATATCATGTGCTCTGTGCTCATCAAGGAGAAAGGTTAATGTTTGATTTTTTTCACTTTTAATGCAAGTGATTACTTTTGCAGAAGCCAATTATCCCTGCTGAGTTGTACAGAGCAATACGGGATTCTCAGCTTGTAGGATTTTCTGGATACTCAAAAGAGGTAATGCTTAGATGCATCATTGGGAGCATATTTTTCTTTTGTTTCGCCAGAATACAGAAATTGACTTTTACAAGGAAAGTATATTCAAATCTTGTCACTGTAATTATTTTTTCTCAACATAACAAAATGACACTTTTAACTAAAACAACAGATTTTGTATCTTTCAGTCCAGTTCATGACCTTTTACTTGTTAATCATTTAGGGTCTTCCTGTCATTGCCATCGGTGTAGGGCTCAGCACATTCGACAAAGCATCTGTAAGATTTCATGCTTTTGATTTATCTAACCTTGTCTAATTTTGCAATTTATGTGGATACTTATAATTCTTAAGGAACCTATTGCTGTAAGTATTTTCGGGGTGTAATGTTCACTAATATCAATCTCCTTCATTTTAGATTCACTACTATGTCCAGTCACACATCCAAATGAATGAATACAGAGATCGTGTGATTTTAGTAAGTTGTGGCAACTAATAACAGAATGTTATACACATTTCTCACAATACTTAGATTTCTTAGACTTACTCTACTTCATGATATAGCCTTCCACAACAAAAAGATTTGGGCGATACATTGGCACTTGCATAAAGATTTTGGACATGACTGGTTTAAAGTTTTCTGCACTGAGTCAAATTAAGGTACTTTTTCTGTTGCATATCCCTCTAATGATATTTCTTATTTTGTTAATTTACCCATCAAGAATGTCCCTTGTTTGAAGCAAATATTTGGCGTTGAATAGTTCATGGATTGTTTCTAATCATCTTAGGAGGACACAAGCCATTAATTATTTATTCTTGTATTAAATTGAAATATTGTTGTTTACAAGTAAATATTCACCGTGTTAACTAAGCAGTGTCACCTTTACTTCTTTCTGTTGCAGTTATTGTCTGTAATATCTACCATTGATGATCTTAACTATCCCGAGAAGACGGAGACTTATTTCATAGTTAACGCCCCATATATATTCTCAGCATGTTGGAAGGTTTGGCACATTGCAGTTTTCAGGTTATATGCACTAGATCTAAATTTGACAAATCTAATGTTTCTACCTGCTTGCAGATTGTGAAACCTCTTTTGCAAGAGAGAACAAGGAAGAAAGTGAAGGTTCTTTCAGGCTCTGGAAGAGATGAATTATTGAAGGTAAGGACACTCTTCTGGCACATGGTTTTTGGAAGGAATAATGCCTCTTTATTATAATTTCTATTGGATTTATGTGAAAATCATGTTAAGTGTCGTGTATGGTGGCCTCTGAGCTATTCCATTAGAAATCCCTTATTGCATGTTTGGTTTGGTGGATTGACAGTTTAGGAAAGAAAGAGAAGCTGAAATTTCATCCATCGTACAATCTAGCCCAGTTTCAGTCAAGATTGGCAAATGTTGCTGACTTGAGTAATGAGCATGTGCACTATGCATTGCGAAAGAGGCTGAGCTTATTTTGATTGTGTTGTTCATCTTTGAGAATTCTGACACATAATTCATTGCAGATTATGGATTATGATTCTCTCCCACATTTTTGTAGAAGAGAAGGATCAGGATCATCTCGGCATTCTAAGAATGGAACAGTTGGTGATTGTTTTTCCCTTGATCACACCTTCCATCAGGAACTATACAGCTATATTAAGGAGCAATCTGCACTCAGGAAGCCTGCTGCACCAGTGAAACAGGGTTCATTTCACGTGGATTTTCCTGAGACTTCTCTAGAAGATGTCAAAATTGCTGAAACTATTGAAACTGAATTTCAGAGACTTGGGGATCAAAATGGGCTTTCTCATTCTTTACACTAGCTTAAGATAAATGGGGACTGAAACTGGATGAAAACTTGTATGCATCGGCTGATGCCAGTGTTCCTCTGATTGCCTACTCCCAAAATGGCTTTTGGAGACTTGCATTATCTGTATGCACGTTTCTGGCTAACTTAAAATTACAAGTCGATCCAACTTATCAATCAGAAGCTTTTGGACATTCCAAGACTCAAATGGAAGTTCATATATTGTATTTCATGTATTTAATGGTGACATTGTTGCCTTTCTTTATAAGGTTCATTTTCCACCTGATATTGTCTCATTAGTCATGGCTAGACTCCATAATATTGTTTACAAATTGCTCGTTTTACCTCACAGTTGCAACACACAGCCTGTTTGAAAGGATGCAGCAAGATACTTCGCATTCGGGTTTGGTTTCCAAAACTTCTATAAAATGGCTCCGGCTCGTTTAGAAATTTCTGTTTTATTTTGGCTAAGAAGATTTACACTGAACTGAAAGAATGACAAACTGGAACCTATTTAATTTATAAACATATTCGGTTAAACTTACTCTTTATCCACACATTTTGTTAGATCTACGAGTACCCCTCACCAACCACTCGTTTCTATCTATTTATAATTTAAACTGATTATAATCTATTCCCAAACAAGCTAGTAACTAAGCGCATTGCAAAATGCAAGAATTGATGTTTGAACTAACTGTAGGTTGGAGTGATTCTTTTGAAAACCAACTCAAGTAAAAAACTGAGATTCCTGTGCAATAATATAATAACATAATGAACAAACCTCTAACCCTACAAGAAAACAAGTCTTTTAGGTGATATAAATTCAACCATAACAACAATGGGAAGCAAATGTAAAGCAGCCAACACCATAACTACATTCCTGCATATCGACTCCATTTCTTTGTTCTCCAATGGCACATGGCTCCAAACTACCTTTTTTTTTTTCCTTTTTAATGCATGATATATGTGCAACAAAGAAGACTACAGAACTCTTACGAATTTAGCCCAACTGCTTGTAGCAGTTATAGGCAAAGGCAACTGACATAGCAGCGCCTATAACAGCAAGTGCAGTATAGGTGTCTTCACGCTCCCAGCATTCATACCATGTAGGCATCGAGCACACCTTCCTAGTGCCAGCTCTTTTGCCACTATTGCTTTGAGAAACTTGCTTCTTGGAGTTCTTCATTTCGTCTGTAAGTTTTGCTGCCCTCTTGGATAAATCAGAACCCTCCTTTTCTTGAAAAGTAGGGTTTTGACAGCAAGGGGAGCCTTCATTTGCTTGACAACATCTTGTGCCCTCCAAATGAGATCCAAACATATTTGCACTCGCCTCATTTGTTTGTGTTGAGTCATTTATGCTTGTTTCCACATTGGTCCCACTATGTACCTGTAGCCTTAGTTCCTGCGATTTTTTCTGGTCTTCTTCTGATAATCCCATCTGTCCCCTGAAAAACCAAATAACAATGTAATTTTAGCTTGTGATACTGGTTGCTCAATACTAGAACCTACGGTGATGCAACTTAACTCCAAAATTAATGTGTAAAAATAGACATAAGAATTGAACATTACCTCCATAGACAATCTACAATTTCTCCTTTCCCAATATGCTGTTCCAGCAAAACAGGTACATCATCAGGCATAACATATCCATACCTGCAATAGTAATCATAATTTTTTTTCTGTTTATCATACTTGAGAGTTAGATAAGAACAAATACTTAACTGCTAAAGTAATAGTAGATGATAACAGACTTGTTTACCACATACCAGTGACCCGTGACTTCTTTTTTACCATTTGGTCCAAATATGATCACATTTCCAGCATACTTGTGCCCTCCAATGTGTGAGCATGGGCTGACGGACACTTTACCTTGCAGACCACGAGACTCTATCTCATCTTTGAATCTGCTAATCACGGAAGGTCCACAAATTCCGCATCGTCTATCCCTTGTACCATGGCAACATACAAAGATGTACCAACCTCTTAGAGCTTCTGGGCTTCCAGGCAACCACTCACCATCCTTAACGAACACTTCCTCAACAAATGTGTCGACATCAAAATGTGTTAATCTCCTGCAATTTTATTTAGTATCAAATGCACTATGTAGAAGAAAAGGGCATGTCCTAAAGGTCCTTGAACCATTAAAAGATGAATAGTATTTTAACCTGTATCTGATCATGTCTGGAAAGATTAACACATCGCCATTTGATGTCTCAGTTCCATCACGTCCCTCACATATTGTTAAGCGGGTCTAGAAGGAAGAAAGGGAAATGAAAATTAAACAAATTAGCCCGGCCATCACCATGAAAAGATAATCGAAGTCATAATCAATATGAATTAGTTCAAAAGGCCACGGCGCTTGAGAGAGACAAACACAAATAGATGGACACATACGTGACCAGAAGGCAACTAATTCATGCTCCAGAATTCTTATCGACCATGGAGACGCAAAAAATTGTGTAATACCATCCTTTCAAGTCTTGGCTAGGATTTGAAGGTATATATAGAAAACAAGCAGCTCTTCCCAGGAAAAGAAAGGGTACAGAACTTGAAAGAAGTAGTTGTTCAATTATGCATACTAGAGACCGTGAGTTACCACAGTAATTTCCAGCACATCTATAACATAGTAATAAAAAGATAGAAGTACAACACAGATTAGTCCATATATTTTTGAGATAGAAGTGAAAATACATGCCTATTCATGTACAGGTGCATAGAGATAAAGACAGGTGCATAGAGATAAAGAAAAAACAGTCGAAAATTTTAGGTATCTTACAATCCAGATAATATGTCACCAGTTTCAGCATTACTGCTCTGTAACACATAATTATGCAAATATTCATATTGATTTCATATAGATTAAAATCATCCCAGCTTTAGTCATTTCCATAATTTTCGTTTAAAGATACCATTTATTCTTAGTTCAACTCCACTAGAACATAGAAAATTGAAGTAAGCATAACCATATCACCGATCAAAAGCTTTTCCATTCAACGAACCTTAAAATCATTTGGATTCTAAACAACAAATAGAACAAAAAAAACAAATCAGAGCTTCCAGCTATAACTCCAGCAGAAGATTCAAAACCCACATACTCAAGCACCACTAAAAATCGTGCACATTCCGTTAAACTTCTGAAGTCCTAGTAAAGAAATCAAAGTGAAGAAAACGCATAAACCCAAAAAAAAAAAAATCCTTAAAAAAAATAATGACGAAAAAAGAAGAACAAAAAGGTAAAACAATTAAGAGCCTGAAACCTGTCTCTTCATATCAGCTTTCCGAGCAGTCAAAGCGGCAGCAAGAAGCCTGGGTAGCCGATCGAACTCCGCGGCCTCAATTCGCGGAGGCCAGACCTGTGGGTTCTTGTAACAAAGAAAAACATGGCGGTCGTAGAGATCAACGGTTCCCACAAGCGAGCCCTGTCGGAAATCGGGGCGGAAAAATCCATAATCAGCCTCGTTAATCAATCCGGCATCGAAACCGCCTCCGGCAAGAAATTCCTCGTTCTGGAAACTGCCGGAGGCGCTGCCGATTTGTGGGGTGTCAAGGAGGGAACTGTCGGGATCGGAAACCTCCACAGGGGAGGAAGAGGAGGAGGAGGAGCGGTTGGGGTGGTTTAGGTATGGAAGAGGATCGTCCATTAGCGGATTCGACATTGGTTTTTGTCAAGAATGGGCGAAATTTTTCCAATTGACAGTGAGAGTGTGTTAGTCAACGTCTTTCTTTCCTAAACTGAAAAACCAAGAAATAATTAAGCTCGGCGTCATTATATTACATTCCATTACATTAATTTTTTCTCTCTTTTCATCTCAATCATATATTCATCAAATAAAATAATAATGAATAATACTAAATGTACACAATTTTTTACACAATCTTTTACACCTCTCTCACATGGAAGGGGGCCCACACATAATAAAATAATCGTGGACCCCCTCCATATGAGAGAGGTGTAAAAGATTGTGTAAAAGTGTGTGTGTACATATAGCATTACCCAATAATAATACACACAAATCAAAAACTTTTCAACCACACATCTCCCATCAATCACTATTCTAAAAATTATTTACCCCCCAAAAATTTAATTTAATGGGGGGCAAACAGGGGCTAAGGGGAAATGTGTTGGAATGGCCATCCCTCGACAAGTTTTTGTTTAGATAGCCTTTAAAAGGAAAAAGAATTAATACTTTATCTTCCCTTGTATTACCAAATAAGGTCCTCTTTGGTGTACATTATTTTTTTTATTCTCATTCTTCTACTCATTTTTAACAATATATTCTTCAATAAAATAATATTTTTCATCACATCAATAACTTTTCCTTCATTTTTAACCACACATTCTCCATCAATCTACTATTCAATAATACATTCTTTCAAAAGAATGTGTCACAAACACACTCTAAATGTAGAATTTTTTGAAGGTTTAAGGTTTTGAACCTTTAACCACTATGGAAAAAAGATGATCCCCGCACCACTAGGACATTGAACAATATTGTTTATTATATTGCAATAACCTATATATATCTTGACAAATTATATTCAAATTTACAAATTTCAAGGATTCGAACCTTCAATCTTTAAGGAAAAGTTTATTGGAATGTTTTCCTTACCACTAGGATATTGAACAATATTGTTTATTTTGTTACAATAACCAATATATATCTTGAAAAATTATAGTCAAATTTTCAATGTCCAGGTATTTGAACCTTCAACCTCTAAGAAAAATGATGGTTCCCTCACCACTAAGACATTAAACAATATTATTTATTTTAATGCAATAACATATATATA